GGACAAGCTACTGGCGGGCCAAGTGGTCTCTGAGCTGCAAGGGAGCTGGTGCTTCCCTCCGTAGCAGCGGTGGCACCTGCCCGCAGGTGCCCAACCCGGAGACACTGTAGCCATGGAGGGAAGCACCATGTCCCCCCCGAGTGCAGCTGCAGAGGGAAGCACCAGGCCCCCACGCAGCTCAGGCAGGCAGGCTCCGGGAAGGGAGGGGAAAAAAAAAAAAAAACAGGCTTGCCACTTTTTTTTTTTTCCTTCTTCTTCAGTGGAGCCTGCCTGCACAGGCTGCCTCCAGGCTGCCTGTGCATCACCTGAGCTGCATGGGACCCAGTACTTCCCTCCATGGCTGTTGCACTTTGTTAGGTAGCAAACTAAAACACTTTGGAGGCATTTTATTTTGCTACGTCCCAAAGTCATTTAAAGCACAACACACTGCCAATAGTGTAAACATCAGCACCTTTAAAGCGCAGTACACCGCCAACAATGTAAACAGCAACGCCATTAAAGTAGTGCAAAAGGGCATTTAAGACGCTTTAAAGGCCAATTTTGTGGTGTGTACAAAGGCCCCATAATACAAAAATGAGACTTTCTATGGTTGAGAGAGTGATGGCTGAGAGAAGTTTGGGCAGAGTTAAAGAAATTTAAACGAATGTGGACATAAAGTGCTAAATCCAATTTGACATTTTTGTACCTAAGTGGCACCTACATAGCTTTGCAAATGAAATGTTTGGCATTTACGCAATTAAAATTCTGTTTATTTGCATAGCTACGTGCACCTTGTACTCTTATTCTAAGTATGCCCAGAAAGCTGCCTTTGGTTATTTAGGCTTTGGTATAGAATAAACATCACCCAGGCATATGCATAAAAGCATGCAAGTCCCAAAACTTTAGTTGTAGAAAAATGACAACTAGCAATAATTTGATGACGGAAGAGGGCTCTCCCACCTGCTGGATAGGGCATTTGCCCAGGAAGTGGGCAATTTGGGACCTCAGGTTCTCTCACCTAGAGGGTTTGGAACATGCATCGCCCACATCCAAGCCAAGTGGTTCAGCCATTAGGTCATGGCCCAGAGTACTCTCCTGCCCTTCTCTAGCAGCTGACCCACTGGATATCCAGCACAGGAAAGAATCCATTTCTAAGCACTTGGAGGAGAAGAAGGTGACTAGGAACAGTCAGCTTGGATTCACCAAAGGCAATTAGGTTGGTCACCCTGACCAACCTAATTGCCTTCTACAATAAGATGACAGGCGCTGTGGATACGGGGAGACCAGTGGATTTGGTATACCTTGACTTTAGCAAGACTTCTGAAATGATCTCCCACAACATCCTTGAAAGCAAGCTAAAGAACTATGGGTTGGATGAACACACTGTAAGGTGGATAGAAAACTGAGTGGAACATTGGGCTCAGAGGGTAATAATGGCTCAGTGTCTAGTTGGCAGCCGGTATCAAGTAGAGTGCCCTAGGGGTCGGCCCTGAGGCTGGTTTTGTTCAAGATCTGTATCAATAACCTGAAAGATGGCATAGCGTGCACCCTCAGCAAGTTTGCAGATGACACATCTGCTGGGGGGATCATTTGATATGCTGGAGGGCAGGGTTAGGATTCAGAGTGACCTAGACAAAGTGGCAAGTACCTTAACCACTAGGCTCAAAAGATGGAATACTGTTTTTCCTCTGGCAGTTGTATGAAAGTGAAAGTATAAAAATGAACAAAGTAAAAGCACTTCTCACGGCTAGCAAGTTCTGAGGAATATTTTTTCTATAGGATACAATTACTATTTAAATTTTCTGTTGAGGGTCACATATTAAGCTTGCAATAGCAACTTGTCCATAAAATTATTTGATACCTGATATTGTCATTCTTTTTTAAATGCCATTAGTATTACACTACAAAGGAAATTCAGTTTACAGTTGACTTCTGTACAAACTACTTCACAGTTAGGGCGGCTAGGATCTGGAACCAACTTCCAAGGGAAGTGGTGCTGGCTCCTACCCTGGGGGTCTTTAAGAGGAGGCTTGATGCCTACCTAGCTGGGATCATTTGAGCCCAGTTTTTTCTCCTGCCCAGGCAGGGGGTCGGACTTGAAGATCTACAAGGTCCCTTCTGGCCCTACTTCTATGATTCTTTGAAATAGGTCACTTTTGGCAAGATGGTCACCTTGTCTGTTTTCCAAAGTATTGACTAACTCATCTATGGACTTCTATTCACCCTATCAAACAGCGTCTCTGGTAGGTCTCCAAACCCACAGAAAGTAATCTAAAACCATGTATCTAAAATCCAGATTTGAAAAATGTGTTTGCCCTGGGTAGTAGTCAGTTTTGTGCCTTTTGAATGAATAATTATGAAGGCTTAAACAACTCTTCAATGTTAGCCTTTAGCTATCTGCACAGATTTCTCTTGACATCCTCGTGTTTCAGTTCAATCTGGAGACTTCAGAGCTGAGGTAAAGGCACCAGATGATCTTATCCCCAGTATGATTCCCAGCAAACATACTGAATTTATTATTTGAGACACAGGAATAGAGGTTCTTCCCCTAGACAGAGTTTAGGGGATCTACGGTATCTATTTTTAAATGCTTTTCACAGAAATAGACAACACTTGCTTTCTCAAATATTTCCTATTATTGATTATCAAAAAGGTTCACTTTTCTTTAAAGGAGGCTTTGTCAAGTTAGCAATCTAAAAGCATGACCTAACCTTTATTGCCAATGTTCAAGTAAAATTAATAATATCCATTGTCTTCTTCATCCCATTTGTCATGATAAATTCCAGTATTCAGTGATAAAGATTCACTTCTGTCTAGTAATTGCTATCCACACTGTAGAAAGACAATTCCAGAATTTGAGAACAATGTATCTGTAGCACTTTTACCTGCCCTCATTTCCTTACAAAACCTCAGTACCTCCTCATATCCCCTATTTATACTTCTTTAATTGCTTTCTCATAGGAGTCTTTCATATCACTTCTCAAAACTAGATTGACTAATCCATAACCACTATCTAATCCCCTTAGCAGATTTGAAGGTAATCAAACCAGTTTTCCAGATTCAGAAGGTCAGTTTAATGATGCCTCTCTCCAAGCAAAAACTAAGCAAAATATCAATTAATTTCAGTCACTAAGATAAATTGTGTTGCCTTCAAAACAAATGCATTTTTTCTTTAACTATCCATGGACTAATGTCTCCAGCAGTGTAATTTATGTAGCCAAGCTAAATCATTCTAAATAAAACTAAAAGTCTTAAATTTCAGTCGTATCTAGCACACAGATGTAGCCAACTGGTATGAGGTAACAGGGACATGCTAAAGAACATGTTCTTGGATACCTGTGATTGCAAAGAACCATTGCCTTCAGTTTGTTTCTGAAGACTTGCTTACAAGTATAATTTTAGTTCTACCATTTATTTCCACTTCATTTTTAGTACAGAGGAAAATTTGGCGGGTTCTGAAAGACGATACAAAAATATTTTTTGTATTTGAACGCAGGCAAGTGGAGGAAGATAACAGCAACAGGCTACCTAACTCCTATTCTCACTAAGACACAAGGCCTTGCAACGGACCCAGATGCCATCTGTGCCCCCTCATCAGCACAAACCATGTCATCACTGAACATTGATTATAACATCCAAGGTTCATTCACCTGCCCCTTCACCAATGTCATACATCCTATCACCTGCTCACAGCGCCCCTCTTTTGTGTACATTGGACAGACAGGTGATCTCTCCATGACAAAATGAATGGACACCAAGCCGATGTCAAGCCCAGAAATATGCAAACGCCTGTGAGGAAAGACTTCAACCTTCCTGGACTTTCCATCGCTGAACTAAGTGTAGTTGTTCTTAAATTATGGGTATTTTTTAATCAACTTGAATGCAAACTTACAGAAAAAGAAAACATCTGCAGACCGGACTGTGTAAAGTATAGTCTAAACACAATGTGTGGATTCCTATCCCAATACCTGGATTAGCATTTATTGGTTTATTGCTTTTTTGTTCTCTCCAGCCCCCTCCACTTCTCTCAACACTGCCCTCTGGCTTTTCTCTTTTGTATTTAAATTACTAATTCTA